ATTGATTGTTTGATATGATGAAGTTTGATTAATTTGATTCTTTGATTTTTTAAACAGGGATCAGATTCTGAAGACATGAACACGCAAAATCCAATTTGTGATAAGGCTTCATCTGATTCTACAACCCAGGTTAAAACTTGTGTTGATTGTGGAACCTCCAAAACCCCCCTCTGGAGAGGCGGTCCTGCTGGCCCCAAGGTATATATAGATACATATATGTATACGGATTTTTTGGGATAAGAAGTAATGATGGTATCTGACAAATAAGCGTCAACTAATTTATGTGATCTGATTTACTTGATCTTTTGCTATGTGCAGTCACTGTGCAATGCGTGTGGGATCAGGAGCAGGAAGAAGAGGAGGGCTTTAATGGGAGTGAACAAAGAAGACAAGAAATCAAAGAAATATGCAAGCACCAAGAATAGTACCCACAGCAATGAAAGTAGTACCAGCAGCAGTGGAGAGAGTGCCAATAGCAAGATTGGAGATTCATTAAAGAGGAAATTATGGGCATTTGGTAGAGATGTAGCACTGCAAAAACCAAGATCAAATACTCCTCAAAGGAGAAAGTTGGGAGAGGTGGAACAAGCTGCATTTCTTTTAATGGCTTTATCTTGTGGCTCTGTTTATGCTTAGAGTTGTACCAGCAGCAGCAGTAGTAGTACCTTTTATTCAAGCAGTTGTACCATGAGCTCAACGAGGAAAAGAGGACAAATTGAGTTGAAACGGGGTTTCCAAATGTACCTTTGATAGTAGATAAATTAATCCAAATTGAATTTCATTTTCTTAAAATTTATTTGCTTGCAATTTTTTGTTTTTCAAAATTTTTGCAAATGAATGAATGTTGATTATTGTGTTAACATATTGTGCTTTCATAAGTTATTTATGGCTTGTTTGGCAAAGTTTTTGAAAAAACAAAAGTTTTTAAATTAAAAAATTATTTTTTTAACATGTTTGAATAATTTTTGAAAATATTTTGTAAGAATAGAAGAATTTTTATAGGAAGTTGTCTTAAAATAGATTTCTTCAAAAGTTTTACTATAAGTAGCAAAAAAATACCAAACGAGTCTTTAAATCATGTTTAATTTTGTTTAAGCCCTGCTTTGACCCCTCATTTTTTTGAAATGAAAATGGATGAAATAATATTTTTTGTTTGAAAAATGAGTGATTGAAAAAGAAGAATTTTTTTTTATTTACATGTAATATTATTTTATAGAAGACTGTATAATTGAAAATATGATAAAAAAATGAAATGTAATGAAATAAAAATTAATAGGGGTTAAATGGGCCTTAAATATATGATATTGATATTGATCCCTTTTTATGTTTGGTATTAGTATTAAATTTTAATTTATCAAAGAATAGAAGGAATTTCCAGCTAATAACTTGATTAGGGAGATAAATGCACGAGTTATTGACAAAATGATCATTTCAAGGTATGTTAATGGCTATTCAATGGGAGTTTCCTATTTTTCAAGATTTGTCATCTTTATTTCTTTATCCGTTTACGGGAATGGAGGGAAAATGTTTGGTCTAAAATCCTTTTGGTGGGACTTTGGGAGAAGGGGGAATGTTTTAGGTATATGATATTTGTACATAATGCGGTATTTATAACGATGTCCATTCCTTTACATGGAGAGGGTTTCATTTCGAATAAATTATATTTTATTTGAAGTAGATCTCTCTCCATGTGAGAACTATGGATATCGTTATATACATCATGATGTACATATAACATCATCCATGTTTTAAGCCTCACATTTATTCCCATTCTTCCCTTCTAAATGGTTATCTTTTTCAAAAAAAAATTACAAAAGAACCATGAAGTCGAAGAAAAGGAAATTAAACGAGTGCTTCCCTCTCTCCCATCCCGTCTTCTTCCTCTTTCTCCCAAAGCTACAAATGATTTCTTCCAACGCAAAGAAAAGAGTAGGGAGCGGTTTGGTCTCGAACCAGAGCGTGCAAGGTTGAAGAAATTGATTAAAGTGGAAAGTAATTTTTAAGAAGTTAATTAAGACATTTGAAATGGGAGAAAATGCCTTCTAAACAAAAAATTTGTTGGAATCACTTGATAAGTGCATTTTGTGCACTTATTCGGACTATATAATTAAGTTTTTAAGTTGTCAAATTATTAATTTTTATTTAACTTACGTTAATTTTCTTTTGTTTTTAGTTAGGGACTCGTTCGAAGCACTTCGAAAAGAAAGAATGATGAAAATGAATGAAATGGACAAGTTTGGAGATCAAATTCAACACTTTGGAAATTGAAGGGCTTAAATTGAATTGAAGAAGACATGGGCTGTACAATTTAATGGGATACATGACTAAAATTCATTAATTGGAAAAAATGATGCTTTGATGAGAAATATTTAATTGGGCTCCAAACCAATTTGAAAAGTGAGAAGTTTATTGGGCCTAGACCAATTGTAACGGAATTGAATTTGGGCCTCATAACGGGAGAAAGTGGGTTGAATTTGTTTTAGATAAACATTGTTTGGCGGCCGAATTTAGGGGATTTACAAAAGCACACATACAAATAAAAAAGAAAGGGCGGCCGGCTGGTGGAGAGACAAGAAGTGGCGGCTGTGGGGATACATAGACATGTAAGGCTATCAATGGATCGAATCTACTCAAATCAGATATGATCTATTAAGAATTATCATCCGATCCAATAATCCAATGAATATTTGAATGTTAAATCCAAATCCGATTAGCTATGTTATCAGATATTCGATCCGATAACCCGATCCGAAATTGAAAAATTAGAAAAATAAAAATTTTATTTATTTTTTCATTAAAAATCATAGCCTTAACAAGATTTTAATTAATTATTTATTTTAAAAAATATTTGAACTATTTTGATGGACTCATTATATTAGAAGGCCCAAATCAAGGCAAGAGTTGAACTCTTTGTCCTTAGGTTGATTTTACCTCGCAACGATGCCTACAGATGATAACAATCAACTCTTAAGATACAATGACTATCTTTTTGTGTTTGTAGCACTCCAAAACATGATAACAAATAACCAAAATTTGGTTTTTGTACTCCTTGTATGAATGGAAACAGATTTATGCAAAATTTTGGCTAGGAAAAGATGAATGGAATGTTATGTTACGATATCTCATTCATTCGGAATTGATTTTTTTATTTTAAATATACTATAACGATCGACTTGACGAGTAAAATTAGTCTATTTATTTTCATAATTTGACCTTCGAATCAAGTTCGAATATTTGGTTAAAATTGAAACAAAATCACTTTTCACATATTCTAACTTAACCAATTCCGAGATATAATATATTAAGGCTCATGGTAACTGTATCAAACATGACCGATGCCTTAATGTTGGTCCTTTCATACTGGGGAGTGAACTAATATGAAAAGGGAAAGTAAGAAATCCCAGATTTTTGCTGCAGCATCTTACCTTCAATACCTGGCTCAAATCCAATCTCTTTTAAAGAAGACCAAAAGTGACAATAAGAACGAACCTTTGCTAACCAAGAGTTCGCTGGAGAAAGATACTTTCCAGAAGAAAGACGGGCAGATCCAGGAATTTAAAACGCATGGTCTAAATTATAAGAAAGTCAATATAATAAATTCATGTATAATATTAAAAGTCGTTTTCATCTAATTTAAAGTTATTTTTGACAAATTTTTGAAACATAAAATTCATCTACAATAAAATCTATATCAGTCTTCCTAGTATTTTCGTTTGATGAAAAGTGTAATATAATCTGAAGGAAAGTCATGATCTATCTTGCTACGAAGATCCGTCTTCACATTTTTTGTTGTCGAAAATTCCTACTCTTTTTGGTAAGAATTTATCCTTCTGTTTGTGAATTTTTAAATTCAAAAAAATAAAATTAAAAATCATCAATAATCTATTAGTCCAATAATAATTCATTAAAATTTAACCCTACAAGGCATCAACAATTCATTCATTTGTCCACGAGGTAAAATTTGATAAATTATAAAACTTGATAGATAAATTTTAGATTTATTGCTTACATAAATTTATTAAATACACAAAAAGAAGGCAAATGAATGTCAAAAAATATTAAAAAAATAAAAAATGGGTGTGGAAACTAGAGTTGCTCAAAAATCGCGAAATCGCAAACTGAACCGAAACCGTTAATTTGAAAACCGTTGGTTCAGGACCATGTGGACCCGTAATTTTTTCCTCGAACCGTACTAAACCATTTCAAAATAGTTTGATTTAGGTTTCGATTTTCAAACCGAACTGCAGCGCTTTTAAATTTTTTAATTAAAACATTAATTTTATTAATTTATAAATTTTACAGTTTCCACTTTTTAGAATAAATCAGCTTATTGAAATAATCATAAATAGTAAATTAGGTTCATCATTATTGGTCCATGACTTAACAAATTCACAACACATGTCCTCCCCCCAATATTTACTATACTAAAATTATTAAAAATCATATGAAATGGGGAAAAAAAAAAGATTTTACACAATCCAAATCATAATTCAATAAAACTACGACAACAAATCACGTACAAAATTTTAGAAGCCTTAACATAAGCTCTCATTTCCAAAACATTTGTTGCTTGTCTGTCATTGCTAAATGAATCGCCAATCACATTTTGTCTATTAGTTTGCTAATTTCTACTTGAATCGTCTCGTTCTATCTTCTTCTTGGTAAGTCTCAAATTTTCATTCAAAAAGTATTTTGGATAGCAAAGATTATTTGTGTGCATAGGTTATTAATGAACTTTTTTTGTGGTTTGGAAAGAACAAATGACAGAATGTATTAATTGTGCGAAAGTGTTAAAGTTTCTTAACTAGCACTACTACTTTCTACTTTCATAAATTAGTTAGAAAATGAAATTCATCAATTCTCACTAAGTCTAAACTCTATCAATCTTTGTACATCTAAACATATCTTATTTAATCATTATTTAACAACTTACTAGTAAAATAAAATGAGTTTTAACCAAACTATAATAGCAGAATATGACTCTACATTTACCAATTGTTATATGACAATATAAAAGTCAAATAAGAAAAGGTAAATAAAAATGAAGAAAAACGTCTTTGTTCTATTGACATCTTTTAGTAACCAACTTTGAAAATAATTTATTCATGAATTTCATGGTAAATATGAATGTAATTTTAACATTAAATATTATTAGTTCTCGTTTAAATTTACGTGTTAACTTATTTTAAATATATTATTATAATGTTGATAGGTAAACCGTGGAACCGAATCAAACCTCAAATTATGGTTTGGTTTACTTTGGTTTGGAATTTTCCAAACCACATGAAATTGTCTGACTTTAAAATATAGCACAAATCGTCCAAATTGAACTGTGTTCACCCCTAGTGGAAACTATAATTTTTTTTTTTTTTTTTGGCAAAAACTACATAATTTCTTTCTTTCTTTCATGGAAATCAAGTAAATTTGACATACAAGGATGCCATCGAATTTCATTTTACCACACAAATTTGCCAGTTGCCACTTCATTTATAATTTTATATCAACTTGGTGCTCTTGCCAGACCAAAAATTTAATGATACATGCACTGATAATTGTGATTTGGACACAAAATAATCATCTCTCCCATGTTTAAAATTACCCAACTAAGAGACTTCTGGACATTGTTAATTTACCGATACATAATTATATATAATATATTTAGCTACATAAACTAATAATAAAAAATAGAAAGGATGTAGAATAATTGAGAGGGGCATACAAAATAAAATCGAAGAAGAAGAAGAGAAAACCTTAATTTTGAGAATACCATATCCGATCCGA